AAGACAAAATAGAATTTGATTTCACTTATATGTAGAATCTATAAAAACAAAACAGGAACAAACTCATAGGTACAGAGAACAAACTCATAGTTTCTCCAGAGGAGAGAAAGGTTAAGGGGATGAGTTGAAAAGGTGAAGGGGATTACAATTTTCATTATAAAACAGATAAATCACGGACTGCAAATGTACAGCATAGGGAATATAGTCAGTAATACAGTAGTAACACTGTATGGTAACAGATGGTTACTAGACATCATAGTGATCACTTCATAAGTGTATAAATATTGAATCATTACATTGTACACCTGACACTAATATAATATTGTGGATGCTAATTAAAACCACATTTAAAAAACTCTTAGCAATCTGGCTCCTGTAAGCGCCTGAATTTGCCATCCCAGTTTTAAATGTCTTTGCAAATATGTCCTGAGGAACGAACAGCATTTAAAAAATCACTTGCCTGAAGGACGAGGGATTCTTTATCATTTTCCAACCGCGCTAGCCTTTCTTGGTACACATCTCCGTTCCCGGGTAGGTGTCCATTTGTCTGAAAAGGAAGTAACTAGAGTGAGTCTGGCCCTCTTTACGTTTGAATCGCTGTGGGTAAATAAAAAATTTGCATCTGTCTTTAATTCAAGGAACCTGAACTGAGTTTAGCACAGCCATGAACAGAAAATACAAGAATAAAACTTGGTTCATTTACCTCAAAATAGGTAAGGCAGGCACGTTAGGCATGTTTTTATCAAACCACACAACTTCTCATCAAGCAGAAAATAATGATCTAAAAGGAACAGTGGCTAAAGGGAACATTCACGGTCAAGTGGGGCACACCTGCGGCACACGAAGCTTTGCGAGTATATGGTCGGGCATCAAACTTCTATTTCCCCCAAATGCTCAATGTCACTAATTCTGAGTGGAGACAGTGGGAGTGGCCTGGGATGCCCTCTCCTTCCTCCCTTCTCCCCCGCTAAGTCCCAAATGCAGGACTGCACATGCCTCCCCTTAAATGGGAGACAACAGGGGTAACTTACAGGCTTCTTCCTGCTACTCAAGTCTCCAAATCACAGGGCAAACCTCTAGTTCCTCTTTGAAGCCTTTCTCTCTCCCCTAAAACTTAAACTCTCAGTATGCAAGACACCACCACACCCTCTCCCCCACCATACCCGCCCGCCCCCGTGCCCGTCCCCAGCAGCTCTGACTAGCCGATCTCACTGGAGATTTAGCATTTTCCTTTCTGAGTCCCCTAACTTCTTGTGAGCTTGCCTGTTCGTATAATGCTATGCAAGCTCCAGGGCAGAGCCTACTTATACAAGGCATCATGTTATAACCTCCATAGCACCTGGCCCAGGGCCAGCGGTTCTCAACCTGTGGGTAGCGACCCCTTTGGCAGTCGAACCACCCTTTAACAGGGGGCGCCTAAGACCATCCTGCATATCAGATATTTACGTTACGATTCATAACAGCAGCAACATTACAGTTATGAAGTAGCAATGAAAATAATTTTATGGCTGGGTCACAACATGAGGAACTGTATTTAAAGGGCCAGAAGCTTGAGAACCACTGGCTTAGACCACTGCTCACTCTTTTTTCTCCCTGCAAACCCCTCCCCGCAACTTTTTAAAAAAATATATTTTTACTGATTTCAGAGAGGAAGAGAGAGGGAGAGAGAGATAGAAACTGATCGGCTGCCTCCTGCACGCCCCACACCGGGGACAGAGCTCACAACCCAGGCATGTGTCCTTGGCCGGAATCAAACCTGGGACCCTTCAGTCCGTAGGCTGACACTCTATCCACTGAGCCGAACAGGCTAGGGCCCTCCCTGCCACTTGTTATCAGACTTGGGCATATTCCTGCATGGCCTACGTGCTAAAGTACGGATTGGGAGAGCAAGTGAGGTTTTTTTCTCAGTCATCTTACAGATGCAAGGCTTTACGGAAACACATGAAAAGGCTGACAGAGAGCAGACAACATAAAAATGTCATTTTGAAACATAGTCGTGTATGTGCTATGTCCCCTGTTATCTCACTTACACAGTTCACAGCCATATAATATGTAATCCCAATAGAATGTCCTGGTTCCTCTTTCAAATACAACAGAAATAAAAGCCAGTGGAGTCCAAAATGGTTAGATGAAGCCATCCAGAGTTCAATCAAAACAGCAAATAACAACTTCCAAGTTATAACCAGAGTAGATATAAACTGTCCCTCCTTACCACCCAGCTCCTATCTGATGTGACATCCATTATTTTTCCAGAATTAACTGGTAGTCATGCAGTTTCCAGTATAAATTCTGGGAATAACCCAAGTTATAGTTGAAAAAAACACACAACACAAAAAGGTGCTTTAACAAAAAAGAAAATTTTAGGATATTTCTTCTAAAAACTATGCACACTGGATATACTTCCCATGAGGCCACACACAAAAAATCAGAAACAAATTTAGTAAGTGTGCGATGTATATTTAGAATGAATAAAATGTTTCATTTAACATCAGCTGCTTGGTCACATACCTGCACCATCACCTCAGCATAATTCTGTTCATGTTGTAAACTGAAGTGCCCAGAATTAAGTGGCAAGTATTACGAGGAGCCTGATGGAGTGGCCTGGACGACTTTCATCCCTGGGGACTACCATGAAGTGAAATTCATGGAGCTTCCTGAGGACAGCTTTTTGGAAAAAAGCCAGGATGCATAATGCATGTTCTCCATCTAAGCAAGTGCTGAGATGGGCCCCCCACAGCTTTACATCCCTCATTTTAATTAAGGATATTAGCAGGCACCTGCTTTCCGATTCCCACACAGGCAATGTTTTATAAATAAATACATTTAATTAAGTAGGGAAAAAAGCTTTCTGCTCAGGGAGGGTACAAAGCCAAAGTCGTCTTCCTTCTGCCTGAAGAAAATTACAGCACGATTACAAGTATTTCATAGCAAGTTCTAGAAGTGTTTTATGAAGCTACTGCATATGATATGGAAATAGGAAATGTTCCAAAACCAGTCCTACAGAATTATCCTAAGAGAACAACAAATACTAAAAATTGGCTCACAATGAGAATGCTCACGTTTCTCAACACTGTATTAATATTTACAAGCGCTCATAATGCCCAGGAGGATTTTAGTTTAAAAAAAAAAACACATGAGAAGTTAGCCTGGCTGGTGTGGTTCAGTGGTTGAGTGTCAACCTATGAACCAGGAAATCAGGGTTCAATTCCCAGTTGGTCAGGGCCCATATCCCAGTTGCAGACTCAATCCCTGGTAGGGAGTGTGCAGGAGGCAGCTGGTTAGCCGATCAATGGTTCTCTTTCATCACTGATGTTTCTATCTCTCTCTCCCTTTCCCTTCCTCTCTGAAATCAATAAAAATATTTAAAAAAACAAAAACACAAACACACGAAAAGTCACTATAGGAACATTAAGCCAAAGTTAACAGCTACCACTGGACTAGTTACATACTTTTAAAACACTGTGTTGACTTGCTCAAGTAGGTCAAGGTCTCTCCTAGTCACACCCTTATTTATATTTCTCCCAGTTTTGTTACCTTTGCCTTAAAAATATTAGAGAGAGATAAATTCCATTAGGCAAATACCCTGCTGCCTCTGCTCTTTTTCCAATTCCTGTGCTCCACCTACCAGACCACTCAAAACCTCCCCGAACACAGAATGCTTCCTCACACACTGATTGTCTCCCTTCTGCATGGACCATATTTCCCACCCTTTCTTCCTCTTTCCTCCTCCCTTATGGTCCACCTCCGCTGGGGCTTCTTCGCATTACGTGCTCACTCACGTGCCAGTTACAGCATCTGGATGCATCTCCATTTCAGCAGGCGTCACACTGCATGGACTAGGCTAGAGCTGGCTACATGTGTGTCTCTCTGCCAGCACACTTTTTTTTTAAAGTGCTTAAGAGTTTAATAACCCAGGCCAATGTTCTAAATGGTTTACACAGATTATCTCCTCTCATCCTCATAACCCTATTAGGTACACAGATTTCACAATGTAGTGGTTTGACTCCAAATCCTACGCTCTGAACTATGTCGTACTGTAAGATACAGGTTTTATAATCTAGTTTTTACGTCAACACTGTGTAGTTTTATTATGAATATATTCTTTTATTCCATTTGCTATCTTTTAAAGTTTTTATTTATTTTTTATTTTTCAATTACAGTTTACGTTCAGTATTATTCTGTATTAATTGCAGATGTACAGCATACTGGTTAGAAAGTCATGTACTTGACACCAACACACTCTTGATTTCATGATTCTAGTTTTTAAAATTCAGTATCAAGAGAGGAAAAGGAAGGCTCAGTCCACTAAAGCTCCTTTAATTAAACATTATCTCTAGCTACCAAAAGGAGTATCTAACACAGGTCTCTCGTGTCCTAATCAGTATTAGATCTCCACCACTGCGTGCAATCATTTATTGCCTGCTCTCCACTAAACACTGTACTAGGAGGGGAGCTTGAGATAAGATTTGAATCCCTCAACCATGAATATCGCCATCACATTTCATTTGTGACCAACCCGATAAATCATCTCATGCTCTGCTGTCCAGAGTCAGAGGACAGGACACCAACGGTGGAAATCAAGCCCCAGGCAGAGATCCTGCTCTGCCCCCGTCCTCTCCCGGAGAGCAGTGAGGCTCTACCCTGGTGCTGTAAATCATCGCCTCAGGGCAACAACGCTGCCTTTCTGGCCAGTGGAGCATCCCTTCCAAGTGCGAGGGTCCCTGTGTACTGCGGCACCTCCGACTGGGTCGGTCTTGCATACAGGCCGCTTATTTTCCCCTCCTACATTTCTCATGCAGTTCAAAAGAGGAAATAACATGGCAGGGCAGTAAGGACTCTTCATTTCCCCCACTTATACTCTACGTATCTCACGGGTTATGATGCCTGGTCTGACGTTCTTACCATCAGCATTTTCACTCGCTCTGTTGAAAACTGTATTTTTGCAGTTTCTGCAGATTTTGAGATTGCCTCATCACTAAAACTGCCAAATAACCAGACACTTTGGGGATTCCTTGACCTGATCCAGGCCAGGAAACTCTGAGCTTCATTTATTGAAAAAAGGCGCTAGGACAACTCATCATATTAGACCTAAAGTAAGCAAAAACCACTTGCGTGGCTCAAACAAACATGTTTTCCTATTTGCCCTCTTGGACTTGGAGTTTGCTAAAGCATTGTTAAATATTTGTGTTAAACTTTTAAATCATAAAATATACCTATTCATTCCCAGAAGGCTAAAGCTATAGGCACCCTATTAACACAAATTCATTCTTGTAGATTTACTATCCCTTCACTATAACAGGCAGCTAGTGTTACTATTTTCTTTTTTCTTATCCAGCTTCTGATCCTAAAAACCATTAAATGGGCCTGCATCCTACAGTAAACCAGGAGATCTCTCTGGCCCAGGCAAAATAATAAGAAAAACTATAAATACCCAGTTGCATTAATGAGAACATTAGTATCAGCCTTAAGTAATGGACTGTCAAGTTGGTCATCATTAAATCTTAATTATGTAACGAGTGTTAGTAATTTTTTCTAAATTATTATGGAAACTTCTTCACAGTCTGACAAATGCCTGTACTCTTTTGTCAAAAAAGTGAACTATGGCTCAGCCAGTGTGGCTCAAAGGTTGAGCATTGACCTATGAACCAGGAGGTCACGGCTGGATCCCCAGTGGGGGGTGTGCAGGAGGCAGCCGATCAGTGAATCTCTGTTATCATTGATGTTTCTATCTCTCTCTCCCTCTCTCTTCCTCTCTGAAATCAATAAAAATATATACTTTTTAAAAAAAGTGAACTATGTATGAGTAATCTGTAACCTAGCTCCAAGGCAAAATTCTCAGATTCTTGATATTTACATTCCAGTTGGATAGACCGAAAATAAATGATATAAACATGGCAAATCCATAGCATGTAAGAAAGTGGTGAGTGCTAAGAAAATAAAAAGCAGAGAGATGTAATAATAGGAATGAAGATGTAAAAGTTTAGATAGGCTGTCCAGGGAAGGCCTCACCAAGAACAAAACTTTCAATATCAGAGACTATGAGAAAACTAACCATACAGATATCTGGGGAAAGAGCTTTCCCGGCAGAGTGAACAGCTAGTGCAAAGGCCCTGGGGCCAGTTTGCCCAGTGCGTCTCAGAACCAGTGAGACTGTTTGAGAATCAGTGAAGGAGCCAGTGTGCCTAGAGTGAAGTGAAAGAGAAGTATAATGACACATAAGGTCAAAGAATAATGAGGAGCAATGCCTAGAAGGCCTTGCAATCCAGAGTTAGTATCTGGCTTTTCCTCTGAGTGCGAAGTGACTACCACGGGGAAGTTTCTGAGAAAGACGTGAAGGACACGATCTGATTTATATTCAGATATCATCATTATTCTTTTTACTCTTTTCCAGAAAGACTTTAACAGAACAGATGGAGCACGTGTGAATGGAAATGTTTTGAGGCATACAGTTTTGGTTTTAGACAACACTTGTTTTTGAACACAAGTTAAAAATTCAATCGCAGGTACCCTTGAACTAGGGCTGCTATCGGCAGCATCTGGATGTGAGCCAGGAATAGGTTCTGCTGCCAATAGTAAATTCCTTTCCCATTAGGTGATGAATTATCAGAAAAATGTGGAGTAAAAAGGGGGTGAGAGAGGAAGAAGAAATAGCCTAGGGAACAGCTAAAAAACATCTAATTTTAGAGCATGAAGCAATTCCCCAACGAAATCAGAAAACCTGGATACTTCAATCTATAGAGAAGAAACTTGCAGAGCAAATAATAAAGTATAATAATAAGGCTCTAGCTGGTTTGGCTCAGTGGATAGAATGTTGGCCTGAGGACTGAAGAGTCCCAGGTTTGAGTCTGGTCAAGAGCACATGCCTTGGTTGCAGGCTTTTCCCTGGCCTGGACCCTGGTCGGGATGCGTGCAGGAGGCAACCAATCAATGTGTTTCTCTCACATCGATGTCTCTCTCTGTCTTTCCCTCTCTCTCCTACGCTTTCTAAAAAAGCTCAATGGAAAAATATCCTCGGGTGAGGATTAACCCAAAAGAAAAAAGTATAATAATAAGGTATCATGTATTATAAAAAAAAATATATATCTCCAACTGTCAAATTTGTGTAGCTGCACCACCACTTAAAAACTGTCAGAAATGGAGGAGAACCAAGATGGCGGCATAGGTTAACGCCGGAGTTTGCTGCCTCGAACAACCACTTCAAAAGTGAAACTAAAAGACGGAACGGACATCATC